ATCAGAGTTGACCTTTCTGATACAGTTTTATGTTCTGCCTTTCACAGATGTGAGGACATGGTAGATGTGAGACGATTAAAGATGCTTCAGATGGTTCAGCTATTTAAGTGTGAAGAGGATGCTGCTCAGGTGAGACTGATGGTGTAGGCAGCTGTTGCCTAAAAGAAAGCTGTCAGAGAGATTAAGTGAACTTTGGGAACTGATAAAATGTTTCGGTAGTTTTGGGTAGCTGTATTTTTTATACAAATTTGACAAATGTATTCTATGTCTCCCCTTTTATTTTACAATCTCAATCTGCTCATTTCTGTAGGCAATAGAATGGTTAAATGAATTATTAGATGCGCTGCTGAAGACTCATACCCGTTTGGGAGATGATGCCCAAGAAACCAAAATTTTGTTGGAAAAACATAGGAAATTTGTTGATGTAGCTCAGGTATGTATGCATTTTTTGTTGCAAGTTAGTTTGCTATTATGGTTTTCTATCTGTATTTAAAATGGTTGTTTTGGTTATTTGCTGAGTAGTATACTAATTAATATTATTGCTGTCAATCATAGTTAGATGTGATAAGATTATTGGCCAATTGAAATCTTATTTAAGGTTAATTTATTATTTCTTTTATTTATTAAATTCATTACCTCCTCCCCCATCTTACCACAGGGGAACTGGATTGCTTATAATGTTAAAAAGGATAAAACTATACAAGACCCAAATATAATGCAAATAAAATACAATTACTACAAAAATACAATTCTCAACCCTAACTAAAAGATGTGGAGGGAGGGAGTAAGATGAGTGCGTGTGTGTGGGTGTCTGTTATCAATCTACCAACCATTTATTAATTTATACATGTCAAAATGCTCTTCGGCTATTATGAAATGCTTGAATTCATTCATCCATTCATCTTCCATGAATATGAAATGGATACAAACTCTACTTGGGGCCACAGTTTTATTTCTCAAGTCATTTCTTTAACTAGTTAGCAAGGATTTAACATTTTTAGTATTTAGATTAATAGGCAAGCATCATTTGGTAGGGATTACTAGGCAGAAGAAAGAAGAAATGTTAATGCTGTGGTAATGAGGCTTGATGTTCAGGTGAAATGTGGATGGCATGGCAGATGTGTAGAGGATGATTCAATAACATACCAGAGCCTTTTAGAATTTCCACAGCTGCCAAATAAAATCAAATGTGACTCTGTACACTTGTAGTCTCTTAACTGAGAGCAATTCAGCTAGGAAAGTTCACTTTCCTTTTGCTGCTATATCCTTCTTCCCTATTTGGATGGTCCTGCAAATGAAAATGGCATGGAAAATCAAACTTGTTTTTCCCAGACCCAACAAAAGCTATAGTGTCTTATCATTCACATGTTACTGTGTTACATTTAAATCTGTACCAACACTGAAAATGTCCACCTTAATGTTTACTTTTCTAGAGTACCTATGATTATGGGCGGCAATTACTACAGGCTACTGTGGTTTTGTGCCAGTCTCTGAGATGCACTTCTAGATCGTCAGGAGAAACACTTCCAAAGCTGAACCGCGTATGGAAACAATTCACAATCACTTCAGAAGAAAGAGTAACAAGGCTAGAGATGGCTGCTGCTTTCCACTCAAATGCGGAAAAAGTGAGTTTCTGCAGTTGATTCCAGTAACTTTGATGTAGTATGCTTTTTATGTGTTCATTTATATTTAATAAAGTTTGATCAGAATGTTAAATTCATGGTGTTAATTAGCATTAACACATTTTTTTCATTGTGGAACTGTTGGCAGTCTCAGAGAGAGCCATGGATTTCAGAAGAACTTGCATTTCACTTCAATATGATTAAAACCAACATTTAGCAATAGCAATACCACTTAGACTTATATACCTCTTCACAGTGCTTTACAGCCCTCTCTAAGCGGTTTACAGAGCCAGTTGCCCCCAACAATCTGGGTCCACATTTTACCCACCTCGGAAGGATGAAAGGCTGAGCCAATCTTGAGCCAGTCAGGATAGCCGATTCATTTAAGATGAATCCACATGCTTAATTGGAATTTTCATCCTTAATACAGATAGTTCTCAACAGTCGTAGTTGGGACCAGCAACATTGTCACTAAGTGACAGTCATAAAGCACTGCATTGTGGGACCATGCTGACTTACGATAGTAGTTGCAGCAGTCTCAGTTGTGATCATTAAGTGGACCCCTGCTGTCACAGTATCCTGTAGTCAGGTGATTGACATTGGAAACCTGCCTGTTTCCCCATTGACTTTGCTTGTTGGAAGCCGGCAGTGAATGGCGCCTGATCAAAGGACACCGCAACATAATGTGAACCAGTTGCCAAGCACCCAAATTATCACATGGCCACAACGGAACTGCAACTATAAGGACCTATTATAAGTTCCTCTCCTTCAGTGCCATTTTAACTGAATAGTCATTGAATCAGTGGTTGTTAACAAGGACCG